GCAAGAAGAAGAAAAAGGAAGAGTCGCTGGAACAAGCACTCCAGACAAAAGCAACCATTAAGGATGAGAAGGCGCTCTATTCTCAGAACGTCCGAGGTAGAGGTCGTGGACGAGCTGGACGTGGAAATGGCCAAGGTGGTCGTGGCCGAGGTCATGAGGTGAGAAATGAAGAAAGAGCTGAGCCGAGTCAGCAAAACTGGAGAGGTAGAGGACGTGGCCGAGGTGGAAGAGGCCGGTGGTCGAATCAAAGTAATGTAGAATGTTATAAGTGTGGCAAGAATGGTCACTACTCAAAGGACTGCAACTCGGACAAATGCTACAACTGTGGCCGAGTTGGGCACTTCGCTAAGGATTGCCGAGATGAAAGGAGAGTTGACGGGACGTCAAACTTTGCTGCGAAAGAAGAGATTAGAGATGAAGGAGTTCTGATGTTAGCACATGGTGAAACGAGTTCGAAGAGTGAGACGAAGTGGTACTTGGATACTGGTGCCAGTAATCACATGTCTGGTTACAAACATTTGTTCAAAGAATTAAGGACAGTGGAAGCCGGACATGTCTCTTTCGGAGACGCGTCCAAAATTGATGTAAAAGGTCGTGGTACGGTCTATTTTCTACAAAGGGACGGATGGGTTGGAACGATTCAGGACGTGTATTACGTGCCCGAGCTCAAGAGTAACATATTGAGCATTGGACAACTGATGGAGAAGGGTTACTCGGTTCTAATGACAGACCGAGTTCTACTGTTGAAAGATAAGCAAGGGCGGTTGATAGCCCGAGTTCAGATGGAGAAGAATAGGATGTACAAACTGAAAGTGAGGAGCTTGGAGGTCGGCTGTCTGCAAGCCGGGGTAGAAGATAAGATGGATTTGTGGCATAGACGGTTTGGACACCTTCATTATGGCGGTCTGACCGAGATGATGAAGAAGAACATGGTGGTGGGACTGCCGAATATAAACTTTGAAGGAAAGTTTTGTGAGGACTGCGTATTGGGAAAACATGCAAGGAGCCCATTCCAAAGGACGGCGAGATACCGAGCTAAGCAACCTCTGGAACTTATTCATATCGACCTGTGTGGACCCATAACTCCGCGGTCCTTCAGTGAAAAAAGGTATTTTGTCTCATTTATTGATGATTTTAGTCGTAAGATTTGGGTTTATTTCCTGAAAGAAAAATCTGAAATGCTGGATACCTTTAAGAGGTTTAAAGTGATGATTGAAAATACAACTGGAAGATACATCAAATCGGTCCGTTCAGACCGAGGAGGGGAGTATGTGTCAATAGCGTTTAAAAGATATCGTGAAGAACACGGGATAAGGCGGTTTCTGACCGCACCATACTCACCCCAGCAAAATGGAGTAGCTGAGAGGAAGAACCGGACTATCCTGGATATGGTCCGATCTATGCTGAAAACAAAGAACATGCCAAAGGAGTTCTGGGGAGAAGCCGTACTGTGTGCAATGTACGTACAGAATCGATGTGCTCATTCGAGTCTGAATGATAAAACCCCGCAGGAAACGTGCAGTGGTTTGAAGCCCTCAGTGGGTCATTTTAAAATTTTTGGGAGTGTTGCGTATGCACACATACCGGATCAGTTGAGGACGAAGCTTGAAGACAAAAGTAAGAAGTTTGTGTTCATTGGTTATGATGAGAAGACGAAGGGGTACAAGTTGCTGGACCCCGTTAGTAAAAGGGTTTTGGTGAGCCGAGATGTGAAAGTAAATGAGGAAGATGGATGGGACTGGAATAGTTCAGCCGGGGTCAATGTGGAACCCGGACACATATCAATTGAGGTCAGACAACATTCGACCCGGATTCCAGAGAATCCGAATGACTCTGATAGTGATGAAGAGCAAAGACAACCGAGATTGAGAGGCCTACAAGATTTGTATGACTCAACCAATGAAGCACACCTGATATGTCTGTTATTAGATTCTGAGGAGTTGAGCTTCGAGGAAGCTGTCCGAGATGAGAAATGGCAATTTGCCATGGAGGAGGAAATGAAGGCAATAGAAAATAACAAGACGTAGGAGTTAGCCGAGCTACCAAAGGGAAGTCGGCCAATTGGTGTAAAATGGGTCTACAAGAAGAAAATGAATGCTAAGGGGAAGATAGAGAGATTCAAAGCCCGGCTAGTGGCGAAAGGGTATAAGCAGAAGGCTGGAGTAGACTATGACGAGGTGTGTGCATTCGTGGCAAGAATGGAGACAATACGACTGTTGATTTCTCAAGCAGCGCAATTTGGATGGCCGATCTATCAGATGGATGTAAATTCGGCGTTCTTAAACGGTGTACTTGAGGAGGAGGTATATCTCGAACAACCTCTGGGGTTCATGAAAGTCGGAGAAGAAAGAAAAGTGTTGAGATTAAAGAAAGCCTTATATGGTTTGAAGCAAGCCCCAAGAGCCTGGAACACGAGGATTGATAATTACTTTAAGAATGATGGATTTGAGCAGTGTCCGTATGAACATGCTCTCTATGTAAAGAAGAAGGAAGGTAAAATTTTACTTGTTGCCTTATATGTTGATGATTTAATTTTTCTGGGTAATGATGAAGGAATGATAAAAGACTTCAAGAAGAAAATGACAACAGAGTTCGAGATGACGGATCTCGGTCTGATGAGATACTTCCTTGGTCTGGAAGTCAGACAAGAAAAATTCGGGATCTTTGTATCTCAAGAAGCTTATGCAAAAGATATTCTGAATAAGTTCAAAATGATAGATTGCAACCCGATTTCAACACCAATGGAACCCGGTTTGAAACTCTCGAAGTATGATGGAGGAGAGAGAGTTGATCCGAGTTACTACCGGAGTCTAGTTGGAAGTCTGAGATATTTGACATGTACAAGGCCGGATCTGTGTCTGAGTGTTGGGAACATAAGTCGGTTTATGGAAGACTCGGGGTACACTCACTGGAAGACGGCTAAGAGAATTTTGAGATATGTGAAGGGAACAATCTCACAAGGACTTCATTACTCGAAGTCGGACAAATACAAACTGACATGTTATTCAGACAGTGAATGGTGCGGAGATGTTGATGATAGGAAGAGCACAGCTGGCTGTGTGTTCTTCATGGGAAACACGACGTTTACTTGGGTGTCGAAGAAGGAACCCATTGTAACCCTGTCTACATGTGAAGCCGAGTATGTTGCGGCATCTTGGTGTGTTTGCCATGCAATATGGCTGAGGAATTTGCTAAGCAAGCTGGAGCAGGAGCAAGTCGGCCCAACCGAGATTCGAGTTGACAACAAGTCTGCGATCGAGTCAGCTAAGAACCCGATCAATCATGAGCGGAGCAAACATATTGATGTGAAATTTCATTTTATCCGGGATCAAGTTAAAGAAGGAGAAATGGAGCTAAATCATGTTGCAAGCCGAGATCAAGTTGGTGACATCTTTACAAAGCCACTGCCGACGTTGCTGTTAGATAATTGTAAGAAGAAGATGGGCATGAAGGACGGTAGAGATATTAAAGATTAAGGGGGAGTTTTGTTAGGTTAATCTTTAATTTAAATAAAAGAAAATAGAATTATGAGGTGTTTTTATTTTTGTTTATGGTGTGTCCCTAGGCATATGTTAGTGGATAATTAATATGTTTAGATTTCCTATGTGTTAGTCATTATTATTCTTAATCATTTGTTGTTGCTTATAAAAAGTACATTGTAACTCTTGAAAAATGGCTTGGCAGAATCAGTAATACAATAGAGAAGTATATTTAGAGAACTCCTTGTGTATTTGTGTGTGAGAAAAACACTATTAGAGGACCTGTGAAAAATATCAAATAATAGCAACTATGCTTTAGTAAAAGAGTTTTTCATTTAAATCGCATCTTCAAAATCATTTTCACACCACTGGCATAATCATTTGCGTTTGTAAGATAAAATGAGGGTGAAAATCAGTTTTGAACTTAATAAGTGTTTATGGTCGTCTAAAACCGGTTTTGACTTATAACCTGTTTGAAAAAATTAAAAACCGATTTAAAAAAAAAATTAGTTCGATTTAAAAATCAAACTATTAAAAACTGATTCGGTTTGGTTTTTAACAAAAATCGAATCAAACCGCTCCATGCACATCTTTATGAGTAATCTCCCACGAATGACTGCATTGGTTTCAACTCGCAACGCAGTCACCCATTTTTATTATTTTCTTAAAGCCTAATTATGAATATATCATTACCCTTGAATAACATGTCGCATTGAGAAATTTTGGTATGAAGGTAGTATAAAAAACTTGTATCTACTATATAAGTTAACAAAATATTAATATATCATAACTTTTTGTTAAATAAATATTATATTCAATGTAAATATATGGGGTGGGGAACCCAATCATATTTGGTTGCATGCAATAGACGTCAATTGCCACAACCACCATATCTTATAGCTAATCTTAAGATTCTAAACAATGGAGTATATTGCATTATGAAAATGACATATTTAACCATTATTTATTTTTACTTAAAATTGCATGAGTTACTACTCAAAAAATGATGTATTAATAATCACATGGCATATTGTTATTTCATATAAATAACCTTGCTATTATTATTATTATTATTTTTTTTTAAAAAAAACACATGATACATAAGTTCTAAGTTTGGAGGGAATTTTTTAATACATGGTGTAGTTAAGATGCTGATCTGTCCAACTACCTTATTTTGACCATAGGGATTGGTTTGCATATGTCACTACTTACATGATACATTCCGCCGACGGTCAAGACAAAAACCACGTCCGAATATTACCCAGCTGCCCCACCCTTAGGTCGTTGTCTTTTATTGACAATCAGTGCAACACATGCACCTTTATTTTATCGCTGTCCTCAATTTGCTCCCAACAATCTATAAATGGTTGAATACAGCACATGTAACGTGGTCTCTTGGATTTTTCTTACTTAATTGTTTTGGTCAGCTTGTTATCTGAATTTTATCATTATCAGAAAAACCAACTAAATTTGCGTGTAGTTACAGATCTAAATTTGAAGGTTCATATGGAAGCTTATTCTATGACGCCTGAGTCTTCATACTTATCCCGAAACCGGCCTGATGAAGCTAAGGGTCTGAAAAATGCTTACCCTTTTCAATCTCATAACTTGCTCCATTCCGTGCGGAAGTCACAAGCAAAACCGTGGAAGAAAGCGCCAGTAGCACCACCGCCACCAACACATGTCAAAGTATACAAGGTGGATGCTCTGAACTTCCGAGATCTTGTTCAGCAGCTTACGGGTGCACCCGAAGTCAAGCATCAGCTTCATCATCAACTTCTTCAAAGTGTGGCACCTTCTTCTACTTCCAATATTGTTGCTACGCCCCAAAACCCAATATTGTTAAGCAGAGACATTGCAGCAGCATCCTCAACAGTCTCCACTAACTGGTACCAGGGTGCGAAATCTGAAGCATTGGAGGTGAAATCTCGGGATACTACCAGTGAGGCAAAGCCACCGGGTTTACTGGAATTGAATTTATCTTCATCATCTTCTTATTATAACTAGTTTTCTTTCCCTCCAATGAGGCCAGGAACAAAGACCAGCAGCTTGGAACCGGGCCGGGTTCCCTAGGCCTTTTATAATGTTTTATCTCTTTTTTTTTTATCCAATCCGGTTCACTCACCCTGGTACGGCTCTACCATTTGGACTTGGTGTCAGCTACTTTTGTTATGTATTCTTAGGATATGATTTAAGGGTACGTTGTCTGTCATTTTAAATGACATAAGTTATGTCATTTTAGTAAAGAGATAGACATATAAAATGAAAATTATGAGAGAGAGAAATTGAGTGATTTTTTATAATTATTTTAAATAAAAAAATTTATTTTATATCTATCTCTCTCTTAAAATGACATAACTTTATGTCGTTTAAAATGACAAACACTTTTTCCATGGTTTAAATAATAAAATTAATATAAATTATTGAAGAAATATAAGTTAATATATTTAGTATATTCTTAAAATTACACATTAACAGAACTCACTTGCTATTCCACAATCACAATCTGGATCATTACATGCATGCGAACAAAAACTACAAATAAACTAAATGTTGATTCAGAAAGCTACTACTCAAAGTAAACTTTGTCCTACGATAACACGCCATTCATAGCTAGTTAAGCTCACGTAGTTCATACTTTAGTTACTCTAAACTACTTGATATTAAATACTCCATGAGAGTGCCAATCTACCAATTTTCTTTGTATCTTTGTCTTTAGAAATTGATGAGGAAAATAATACAGGAAAGGAGACGGAAATATGAAACGAGGTGACGAAACAAGCCTTATAGGTCAAGATTTATATTTATTTAAAGGAATTTTTTATATTAATAATAGGTCAAGATTAGTTTCTTTTTCTTTATTATGCTAAGATACAAATACCTAGCTAAAAAGATTCTTACATTTTCCTTGAATACGATTTTTTCTCATTCGAAAATTACTTTCCACCGTGAAAAGCAAGAGTTGGGATACTTTGTAGGAGGACGAAATACTCGTCTAGCTACACTCTTTCAAAAGGATAATAATTTGTCAACAAAGATAAACAATAATGCTCATATTCAAACTTCAAACATTGATAAATTTTACTGAATTTTTAGTGGCGTACATGAATATGTCTTATGAATTTTATATAATAGACTTTTTGTTTTATTTTTACATACTCATATACTATGCAATATGCAGGCTTTTTCACCCTTTTGCCCCTTATTAATTAATTAATAACCATTTTGCCCCTGATTCGAAACTATCTACCAATCTGCCCCTCTTTAATCGACTACCTTGCATTTTTAATCGACTAAACGGTTGTTGGGAGATTTAATCGACTAAATCTCTCTACTTAATCGATTAAAATCATACTGACTTATTTTTTTTTTTTTATAAAATACGAAGATTTAGTCGACTAAATAGGGAGATTTAGTCGACTAAATCTCCCAGCAGCCATTTTTTGTCTGTTTTGGTCATTTAGTCAATTAAAAATGCAATGTAGTCGACTAAAGAGGGGCAGATTGATAAATAATTTCGAATCAGGGGCAAAATGGTTATTAATTAATTAATAAGGGGTAAAAAGGTGAAAAAGCCCAATATGCATGCATTTATATTCAATAAAAAACAATTTGATTATTATTATTAGTATTAGTTATTATTGTTGTTTAGTGTACTTTGAAACGGCGTCGTACATAAGGTCTTATATTATCCGGTTAAGAACTTCTCTTCACTCAGGTGAGAGGTTGGAATCAACGATGTCATGGTTAGCAAGGACAATCGCAAACTCACTCAGACTCGACGACGATGAACAAGAAGAAGGAAACCCTCACAACGACAATGGCGGTGACCTGAAATCCCCTCCAAAGAAATCTGAATCAGATGCCATTCAACCCGATTCGCAATTGCAATCACAATCTGAATCATCTTCATCTCCATCTACTCCAAGTCCCACCGGACGTGGCGTCAAAGAGGATATCTCTGAGCTCACCAAATCCATTTCCCGCCAATTATGGGGAGTCGCCTCTTTCCTCGCCCCTCCCGCTGATCCTCAAACTCATATCTCCGATCCCAATCCTGTCGATGAAGACCTTATTGCTGGAATCCGAAGCGATTTCGCCGAGATTAGTGGCAGATTTAAGAGTGGGATCTCGAAGCTTTCTGGTAATAAGACAGTATCCGAAATCACGAAGATCGCATCGAGTTTCCTTCAACTTGGATCCGAAGAGGAATACGATCTCGACGGTGTGGTTGGAGTGAACGAGGAGGTAGTGGCCTTTGCGAGAGACATAGCGATGCATCCGGAGACATGGCTAGATTTTCCTCTTCCCGATTCTGATGGTATTTTGATTTTCTCAGTCTCGTTTTATTTCCTTATTATGAGAATTAATGTTTCTTTTTTATTTTTGAAATCAAAACGATCAAGAAATAAAATGCACTTGTCTTTTGTGCGTGATTATGGAATCTATGTAAGTCTATTTACTTTTTTTAATAAAATTTCGAGGTGATTTATTTCTTCCTTGTATTTGCTGCAATTTTCTGGTCCATAATAGGTCTCTTGTTTGCCTTGGCAGGCTTCATCTTTGTATTCCTTATGATTCTTGCTGATATTTCGCCATCTCTGAAATTTTTCATTCTTCAGATTTTGATTTGTCCGATCCACAACAAGAACACGCTCTAGCTGTTGAACATCTGGCTCCGAGATTAGCTTCTCTTAGAATGGAACTTTGCCCTGGATACATGAGCGATGGTTGCTTTTGGAAGATTTACTTTGTACTCCTGCACCCTAGACTCAAAAAAAGTGATGCTGATCTTTTATCAACCCCAGAAGTGAGTTAAATTTTGATTGGAATTGGTTTCTTAATTTGTTTGATGCACTTGTTTGGTTTATTTTGGAAATTTGACGGAGTAATGGGTGCTGATGCCTCATGTGTGACAAATGTTACGTTATTTACTCTGTTGTTTTAAATCAGTTTAATTTTAATCATGTGCAACTAATGATTGAAATAGAGACAATTAAGGTATTTTATTGTTCACATTCTTGGCATCTGAATCTTGTAGTTTGATATTTGGAAATTATAACAGACACCTGTGTAACTATGCTTAAATGATCAAAGCTCATTGCTAAAACCCTTGTAAGTTATATTTTATCCTTCTATATCACTACAGAAAATTCTCCAAGACATTTCAAAATAAACATTCTTATGCTTCTGTTACTTTTAGTATTATTAGATTCTGCTTGCCTGTATTACCAGCAATTCATGTTTTGTATGCAGATACTGGAAGCTAGAGCAATGTTGACTCAGACTTTAGACAAAAGAAGTAAGGAGAAGAAAGAGTCAGACTTTTCTGCAAGAAGCACTGTTTCCTCAAAAGAGGAGGAACAACATCTCTTTGTGCCAAGCAATGCTCAACTTGAATCAGCACCTCTTCAGACCTCTGCTGCTGAAGCAGCCCCATCTATGGTTGTATCTGATGTTGAGATGGAGAAACAGCACGTTCAAAGTACTTTAACTCAGATTATTGACAAGTCTGTGTTTAAAGAAACACCTATAAATGCAACTGCAGAACAATCATGGTCTGGTTCAACAAATAGATTTTTGGATGAAACATATGAGGATGATACTGATGATTGGTTGAAAGAGGATAGTTCTGAAATGGTTGGTCGCAGTGGAACTTCCCTTCATACTGGTAATGAAGAGGATGTGTCATTCAGTGATCTTGAGGAGGAGGATGGTGATGCAGATGCAAGTTATAAAAAAAATAGATCAGGTTCTGATTCTTCAACAAAAGACTCACGAGATTGGGTTCAGTTAGATAGAAGTTCACCTCACTTTGATAAGGATATAAATTCCGTTGAATGCAGACATGCTGGTTCTGAGCAGTCAAGTGCTCGTACATCTATGACCAAGGATTCCAATGATTGGCTTAACGTTGATGACAATGATGTAATATGATAATGCCACGGAAAATGTCCTAGAGGTAAGTTTTTTTTATATGACTCTTGTATTTTTGTAAATATTTGCATATAGTCCCTGTACTCGATGAATAACTTCTGAAAAATGTGTGTGTACATAAAGCCAGTTTCCGGCATTGTCCAATGTGTGGTTATTACTGCACCGTACATAAATTAAATCTTCGATTTGGTATTGAATTCCAAGTTATTTGAGATTATTAATACTTTTAATTGACTGAACTTGTTTTTAAACGATCTTAAATGTAACCTGGCATGATATTATTAGTAACAGCCATGATGAATATTTATTTAATTGATCATGAGAATAACTACGCTTTATAAAAATAGAGGGAATATAGCGATTGAAATATATAAGCAAGGGTAAAACTTTGTTTTTATAATAAGCTGGTGTTGTCAATAGTAAAATTTCTAAGCATGTGATGCATAATCTTAGGGCTATTTCGTTCGGAGATAGCTAGATGTTTCTCTTAAACACCACCTCACACTGAAGAACTTGCATCCCCATAATTACAGGTATTAACATTGCTGTTGTGCCTAAAGATCAGAACTCTGAAGTCCTAATTTCTAATGCTTAATAATATAGTTCATCATTAGTTTTAACTCGCTGCTATTTTGGCTTTGGTAGTTTGGTTTAATTGGGATTTTTGAATTTCTGAGATTAAGAAACCTACAAGTGAAGTAGAAATTAATCGGCATCATTCCTGCTCTTGTCAATGTCATACTGTCGACATCCTTCTTGGTGTTAGGTTTTTATATTTTAATTTAAAAAATACAGTTGATCTTTGAAATGTGGCATGCCGGTTGTTGTGTTACTGGAATTATCCTGCTTATCAGTTCTATTGTAGCTTTGATTTAAATTGCTGGATTGGGTATATTGACGCCATTGCATACTGCTCTTGTAATTGTCATACTCCCTACACCCTCTTGGCTTTATTTTTCTTAATCTTGATTTAAAAACTATAATTGATATATGAGAAGTGGCATGCGTGGTTGTTGATTTACTGTAATTATCCTGCTTGTCGGTTCTGTTGTAGCTTTGATTTAAATTGCTATATTGGGGTATCTTGACACCATTGCATCCTAAACGGGAGTTAGGAATTGTTTTGTACTCCGCCCATTGATGATAACTAACTTGACCTATTCCAATAGATATAGAAACAAAATTAAGATAGTAAAGATCATGGGTGAGATAAATTTTACTTGTGTTGCATCAAATTTAACTAGTTGATTTCCTTGCTATTGAATGGCCATACAAGTCAGTTGTGCAGCTTGACATTAATTGCGAGAGACTGACTCTTGTTGACGTATCAAATATGTTATCACTTATTTTGTTCTTTTTTCTCCTTTGAGCATTTCTCCTAATTTTTGTCGTCATCCTCTTTCTCTGCTACTTTGTCACACATACAATTAGAGTTGGACATTTTATTCCCGTAACACACCTGAAGAGTCAGTACGAAGAAGAATAGAAGGATCGCCAGATGGAACCATTACGTTATATCGAACTATTTAAAAAGAAGCAAGGAGCTTGTCTGTTCTTTATGTTCACGAGATGTCCAGTTTGCTCTTGTAAAAGTGAGCTTATAGCTACCATCCTAGTAAGCATAATATGTTTCAGGGGGACGTTCTTCGTATGATTGGAACGGTTGTGAAAGCCTGAAAGGAGTTCACTTCCAAGTTTGGATGGGTGGTTAATTATCCGGAACCTGTAACACTGTACACGCTGACGGGTGTCTTAACTGACGGCTTGAAAGTTTCTATTCTTTGTAATTCACTCCTTTTTCTCCAAAATCAATTTTGGGCATTACTTTATTAAAAAAATATGGGGTTACTCTTTTATTTCTTTTAAACAACTGAATGCTATTGTACCCAAAAATAAATAACTAAATGGCGGTATGCTATACTATTACTCTTGCATGTATCCGATTTTGATGAAAGATTAGACTAAAATGTTTAAAGTTTGAATCCTAGTAGTTCAAAACAAACGATCAAGCTTTGGTAGGTGGATGGTATACCCCCCAAAAGAAAAAACAAAGGAAAGAAGCGGAAGACTTGTTTTGTGATCTGCATCCTCCCTCATTGGAAGCTTTTAATGATTATTAGATTAAACCAAAATCAATGCTTGAAAATGACATAACAATATCAACCTCTACGGACAATGGATATTGTAAGATCGTTAGGTAAAGAGAGATGAACACAAACATATTAAATAGGGTTTTACAAATTTTATTAGAGTTCCACTTGTTTATTGTATGTGTGTATTTCTCTCTTTTCATGATCATGTCATGTTAAAAACTCATGTAGGAAGATCCATTCCTCAATCTCAATACACTCAAAGCCATATCCTACTAAGCTCATTGCTCATACCACTTAAAGAGTACAAATTAGCCTGTCAATCTCATTTCTCATCGTGTAATAGCCTGGGATTTTAATGATAAAATATGTACAGTGACAATCAAAATAGAAGTTAGAACAACTCTACCCCTTCTCATTTTTGTGTATACAGCAATTTAGTAGGGACATTCCTTGAAATAGAACACCATTTCCGGAGACGGGAGCTTATCAGGATCTAATTAATGGGGCCAAAATTACCGGAAAAGCGCTCTAAATGAGACCATAGCATTCTTCCAAGAGAAAATCTTGGCTTAGCCTCTACACTGCTCTTGGTTTCACGTATAACCGATGAGGGTGATGATTGAGGTACCCTATGGGGCGACTTGTGATCAGTAACGATGGATCCACCAGACTCTCGTCTCACCAACTCCGCTATATTTGGGTTCACTTCTCGACCTGAAGAATCTGTAACAAAGAACGATCCCACTGCTTTCTCCCCCTCTGTTCTAATCTCAACCCTTGATATGGATAGTCCATTTTCACGAAAGACCCGCGTCACACTCGATAGCAGCCCTACTCTATTTTCAGTGCGAATATCCACCCTTAATCCCTGCATCATTTCATATTAATTAAGAGCCACGATTAAGACGGATGAAGCATACAGGTATAGTATATAATAACGAAAAAGCAGAAGAAAAACTTAATGCAGGGTCTTATAGGGAACTTACATGCGAGACTCTGCGCTCTATAGCAGCAATTAAGCATAAGGTGAACTTTTGCCTCTCGCTTTCGCTGTCCAGAGTTGAACTACCCATGCTGTGCCTTATGAAGTACTCCTGCAAAACGTGGATTAATACCAACTGCATAAGAATAATATAGCTCCACTTGAAAATTGAAATTGTGCTAGCACCTGATCAGCCATTGGTCTCTGTGACCTGATGGCGGCGTGAAACACGACATACTGCATGTCCGTTAGCACGCACACCGTATCGAAGAGTAGCTTAGGACGGTCCCTGCTCCTCACGTTAACCTCCCAGTACCCTTTGTCTTCGCATCTACCAACAGAAACGTGGGTCCCATCACACCCCTTCTTGTGCTCCCCGCTACTATCCCCGTGACAGGCACGGCAGCTCTCGTAATCCCTGTCCGCGTACATCAGCTGGTGGAGCCGCCGTTCGGTATGGGTGCGCCCGGCGGAGAAGGTTGTCAACCTCACGCACTTCCTCTCTCCCGTCCCACCATGGGCCTCCACCACGTTCTCCAGCTTCTCCTCCAAGTGGGCCAACCTTATTGGGTCGCTGATGGGCCCAGGTTGGGATGCGTCTTCCACGTAGATAATGCAGGCCGCAATGTCATTGTGGGTCCAGGCCATTGCAGAGGTGACGTTACAGCCCAAGTCCACCAGCATTGCTGATATCTCTGATAGAAGGCCCGGTCGGTCCGTCCCAGTCATCTCCAAGGCTGTGTTCACCGTTGACACGTTTGGTTGCGGCTGTGGTCCATTGCAACTGGACATTTCTGAGTCCCTTAAAATCTCTCCTTGTCTTCTAGTGGCGCACAGAGCCTAGAACATGAATTATCTTTGTTCAATTTGTCTTTCGGATTTTATATTTTAGTTTCATATAATTAAATTATTTGTTTCTTTGAATAATTAGATAAATAAGATTACCGGGAGAGACCTGTAATAATATTTACCCATCATTTTCTTTACATTATTTTATCTTATTTTTTTTTTTTTTTTTTTGTAAATATTTTATCTCATTTTTTAAAATAATAAAATATGAAAAACATATATTTCAATACATATATATATATATTTCTTTAACAAAATAATGTGTAAGCATGACATTAGTGCAAAATGGAAGAGACAGAGAGAAAGACCTGCTGAATGTGGAGCATGAGTTTTTCGTCTGTGAGCTTCTTGCCAGCTTGATCAGTCACGTGGAACACTGCATTGTGTAAGAAATAAAGAGCGACACCACATCACATGGATCAGAAACGAACCATTACAGTTGGCAGATGATGGTGTCATAGTCATGGAGCAGTCATGGAGCTTGGTGTTTCATGACTCATGCATAGCTCATACAAGATAAATGTAAGCATTTTAATGATTATTTACTCAATTATCATTTCGAAGGATTGAGGGAAATTTTAGAAAACTGCACGAAAAAAAGGGGATTGGAGAAGGAGAAACACTGACCGTCCATAAACCATCCACCATCAGAGGAAATGTATGATTTGGAAATGATGAGGTCAAGATCTGTCAACACCTGGACCATCTCCAATAATATCCCATGCTTGTTCGCACTATCAACCTGTTTGTCAGCAACATACAATTTGTTAAGTTAGACAGGGAGGGAGCATGTGAGAAGCCCAATCCCAATACACAGACCACTAACAATGACCCATGTATTAGGAACCCAATCAATAATATGTGACTTTGATATCGTATCTTATCCCAAAATTTTAAGCTGATTCTAACTAAGAATATTCCTAATCCATCAGGACTTAATTATTTATCACTCATATTTGAATTTCAAGAAGAATTTATTAAATTTAATGTTGAATTGTTAAAAGAAAATGAAGTCAGAAGTTTTTTTAATTCTCACGCTCCTGCATTTAGTTGTTGTTTTAGACCTCTTAAGCCAAAAGCCTAAACCATTATATTATTTTTGGTTGCTAGCAACAATAACTGTTTCTGCCTGTTTGCTTGTCTCTGATTTCTAAATCAGAGACTCTTTTTATTTTATTTTATTTTAATCTTTAGGTACATGAAACCAGTGACTCTTTTTACAACTGCTTTACGTCATTTTCATAGAATACGAGCCAAATTTGGTTTTTCTTTTGTAGTTCAGCTGAGATTTTTTTCTTCCCCTCACAAGATGACAATAAAACAGAAATAGGGAATAAATTAAGTTATTCGGCAATCAGGTACAGAACTAGGTAGACTTCTTCCACCCTTTACCATTGATATCCTAACTTTTAATGGTTAAAAAAGCAAGCACAATAATTGTATTGGTTCCAACTGTTAGGCTGACAATTGTATTGGAAATCTCTACAATGAATATTTTTCTAATTGATGTGTATCATATGTTCAATTCCTATATATGCTCCTACTATATATATATATATATATATATATATATACACTCAATGATTTATCGATCTCACCAAGTACTACCAGTACTAAGGGTGGTTTAAAATGTGTAGGTGATGATTCAAAGCATTAAACAACTAATGGTGGACGCTCCGAACAATCAAGCATAGTTAACTAGCAAAGACTAATGAATAAGGTCCAACTCGTACGATGGATTAATGATTTAACATATGCATCTCGAATGTGGAGAATTGTATCTGACCTTCACTACAGTGCAGTCTCGGCAAGAATCATTGTCTATACAGACCCTGCCACAAGAGAGTTAAATACGTTTAATTCATTAAGCAATCTATATCATGAAGCAGCTTAGCCAAAAAAAATCAATGATTTGTAATTAATAAAGAACAAGAAGAAGAATACAGCATGAAAGTATTGACACTACCAAGAAGAGAAAGATGGTGCAGTACCTGGGAGGATGTATTCTTTCGATTAGCGATTCAATCTCCCTATCGATGTGGGCCTGGTAAAATATTTCCATTGTTTTCTTATGAACAAATCGAGTTTGTTGTGTGTTGGATAATAACCCAGCTGGAAGCAGCGCTGCAATCTATCAATTTAAAAGCGTTTTCAAAACCCATGATCAAAGAAAACACGTGTGTACAAAAACAGAATATGGTAAGGAAACGTGGCGATAAGAACGCCGTTTATCTTGTTTTCTAAGCGATGACACAGAAAACCGTATCGTTGGTAATCATTTAGATCTTGGAACTTTGTCGTGTCATACTTATCGTATAACCAATTGTTTGTGAAAAAAAGACTGGGAAGTTGTAAGGAAAAGACAGGGTTCTCCGTTCATTAAAGCACGGAAGTTTCCAAGAATTCATAAAATACTTGTTTATAAAAATGAAAAACAATTATCTGGGGCAGAAAATCAACGTAATTTGCTCCTGAGGCTGAGAAGCGAGAACAAAGAAATTACGTTCCGTTATGGAGGAAAAGAAAGGGAAATTTGAATATCGCACGGTCAATTCTCGAAAAAGATCACAGGATAAGGCGGTTGGTTACCTTTAGGGTTAACAGTAGATGTGAAGTTCATGGGGGGTGATAGAGAAGAGAAGGACACAAAGAAGGGGCCAAATCTTGATTAATTTCTATATTTGGCAGCGTGATCCTTGTCCCGCGCGTACAGAACAAAATACCTGCCAATATTGGAAACCCGAAATGTAACTCTCAATTCTCATACTTTTGGTATTTGTAATGTATTATTGTAGTTCTTGGGAGCTGGTGTTGTTCGAGGTCGTGGCTTTTGGGGATACGGTTATAAGAGAGTTGTTCTGGCTTTGGAATTGAGAATTGAGAGTGTGTGCAAAGTTCGAGAGAGTAAAATAGAAACGGGGAGAACGTGAAGTCACTCACGGGGGTTAAATCTAGTAACACACAGGCAGGTAGGCTGAGAGCTTTCCCTTGTGCCACGTGCCTCTTGTTTTCTAGGTGGCAGTCCTGCTAATCTGGGTGACCTGATTGAACGTGCAGTCAAATACTCAAATTGCGAGGGCCACGTGTTTGTGTAAATATGCGGTTGCGAATCCATTTCTGGAATCGCGTTAGGCCTTGTATATGTAGCTTGTAGTTTCTTTTCACACTGAAGTTTAGGAGATATGAATATAGAACCACTTATATCACGTTTGCTTTTTATTACTCTTAAGATTTGGGCAAAAAACCAATAACTGAACTTTTGTTTTGATCGTAGTGTTAGCACTTGTTTGAGTGACAAAATAGGATAAGAGCATTAGATGAGAGTATAAAATGATGAGGGTTCGGTAAGTTTATACCTTATTCCGTACTTTTTTTTTTTTTCTTTGGTGGAAACCTTATATTCCGTATTTGTTATGCATTAAACAAGCATTTTGATATGATTATTAGTCTATATTGCATTTGAAATTGATTAGATAGTATTGAGATATATATAAATGGATAAAAAAATTCCTTAAAACATAATTTCATATAATTTTTTAAAAATTATTTTATAGATTAATTCTGTTTTAAATTTTTAAAAGAAATTCTAAAATTCATAATTTCAAATAAAATAGATTAAAATATAGAAAATCATTTACAAAATTATTTTCTCTATTTCAGGAGCTCGAACTCGAGATTTTTGATTAAGAGCCTGTTGGGCATATTTATTTTTTAAGTTAAAAATTATTTCTAAGTTGAAATTAAAAAAGCATAAAAAATAAGGAGTTGTTTGGTTATTATATAAAGCTGCTTTGAGGGTTTTGAAGGAACAAATATAAATGATTTTTTATGAGAATATATTATTATGGTAAAAAGCAAAATTGGTAAATACAAATATGAAATAAGAGTCAAACTGAAAAATAAATATGAGAAATCTAATAAATAAGTGTATATATATTAAAAAAACTCCTCTTTAAATTTTTTTTCTTTTGCTTTTTTTATTCATTATAAAAAAAGCTTTTTATAATAAAAGTATTATAAAAATATATTTAGTTAAATTTATAATTATAAAATGAAAAAAAGAGCTAAAATTAAGACTTTCCAAATAAACTCTTATAATGAAAGTAAAGAAACTTTTATTATATACTAAGGGAAACAAACTCCTTAATCATTCAAACCCAAAAATTGTTGATGATATGAATAATAGTTTATTCTATACTATCTTTAAAGGACAAATGAAACATGATATTAGTCATTTCTTTTCCTATGGACTGTTTACCAATCCAGCCAGCCCAAACAGGAGTTTCCCATGCGCGCTTTTACCACAAACGAATAACTGTCCATAAAGACCAAGCCCATAATCGATTATATCCTCAAAAATTAAATACGGACAAGAATTATTTTAGTGGCAGTTATGAATCGAATTTGGCGTAAGGACTGAATTGAAGACGATTGTTGGGGCTATTGCTTCCACCAAAAAGGAAACCCCAATTGCAAACTTTCTTGTGAGTTTTTAAGCTCATAACATTCTCCCAGGTCTGTCTCTCTTATCTACGTCTATTCAAAAAAATTTATGTTCCTGATGTGTTTCAATCCCATTCAGTTTGATATCACCGAATTTAGTTGGGGTTAGGAAAAACTGGGATTAGATTTAGGATTATAATAAATTGGCCAGTTGTTAATGGAACTGCAATTGGTTGAAAAGGGTTTTGATTATGCGTGTAAAAGGAAGAAATGGATCCTGATTTTGTGTGCGGTTGGGTTGGGTGGGTACGGTGCTTACAGGGTTTATCATGCGCCTTCCATAACTCGTAAGAGAAAAAAAATTTCTAAGGTGATGGGTGCATTGGTTTCCGTAGCAGAAGCCATATCCGAATCTGCAGAGACAATTGGTGTGGTCTCCGGAGACATGAAGGATTTTTTGCAGTCTGATTCGGATGAAGTGCCCAATAGCTTGAAGCAAATTTCCAAAATTGCTCGCTCTGAACACTTTTCAGATTCTTTTGTCAGCGTAACCCGTGCTCTGACTGTGGGGGTCTTGCGTGGTTATCAATCTATGAACCGGACCGATGCTGATCAAACCAGTACCGGTTCAAGTTCAACCGTCGTGGACCGGCTGCTGGACAAACTTCTAACACCAGCTGGGTCAGGCTTTGCTTCTGTAGTTCTCGGAAGCTTTGCTAGGAACCTGGTTCTTGCCTACTATTCAGATCCTAATGCCCATGCCCATGCCCATGCCCACTTTGGTGGAGAATCGAATTCAAGTAATGCAACTAGTGGTGTTACACATGTTGGCTCCAAGTCTGGTCCTGTTCCAACATGGGTTGATGTAGTTTGTGGTGAAAGGTGCGGGGAACTAATTGGGAATTGTGTCCAATTGTTTGTGAGCACTGCTGTTGCTGTTTATCTTGACAAGACCATGGGTATCAACCCCTATGATGATTTCTTTGCTGGCTTAACTAACCCAAAGTATGAGACTAGAATGAGAGACATACTTTTATCTCTTTGTAATGGTTCCATAGAGACTCTCGTCAAAACATCTCACCAAGTGTTAACGAGTTCAAATCCCAATGTTAATTCAAGTTCACCTTCTTATTTGGCTATTGGAGAAACTCCAAGTCCAGCCAGAAATGAGGACTTGGGTGTAGAAACATCATCAATTGAATCAAAAGCAGGAGATGTTTGCGATGAAGAAAATGAGAGTGGCTGGGTCAGCAAGGTTTCTTCCACATTGGCTGTTCCCAGTAATAGGAGGCTTGTTCTTGATGTGACCGGGAGGGTGACATTTGAGACAGTTAGATCGTTCATGGAGTTTCTTTTACAGACATTTTGTGCTTCTGTAAAAAGATGTGCTCATATTGTTCACGATGCACTGGTTGAGATTGTGAGATATGCTGCAGCTAAATCCTCTGTTATTGTGACGATATGTCTGTCGTTGTGCCTGCACATAATGGGTGGCGCTTGGGCTTTGGTGCCTGCTTAAGTAGTTGTCACTAGTTTCGTTCACCAAATACATGTGATTCATCATTTTGAACTAGAAAATTTTTCTAATGCTGCTGCTTCTTTGGCTATGCAGCTACATCATAATATCTTCATATCATACATGGATAAATTTTATTAATGATTTTGAAAAACATCATGAAGGGCCGGCTTGGCTCAGCGGTAAGCTTGCTTGCCGTGGTGTGTCAGGTCGCGGGTTCGAATCAGCCTCTCTGCAAAAAGCAGGGGAAAGACTGCCTAGAGTATTCCCTTCCCCAGACACTCACGAAGTGGGTATTTGAACTGGGTCGGCCCTTTATTTTGAAAAACATTATTGTATTAATTATTAAAGAATGTACAGTGACCATAGACGTGATCCTTCCTGCAGTTATGTCTTCTCTTACATTGTAGCCCTCATAATCATGGGACAGCCACATTCCAGAACTCCCTCGCAGAAAACCTGGCATTCATCATCCAGCAGTCTTGTACTCTTGTTTGTTTAGGGGCGTAATCATTAATGATTAGACACATTCTCGAATTGGAATCTTCTTTTAGGTACACCTTTCTGTAATCTGGATATGTTGTTGATTTGATCTTTTCCATTGATCAGGTGCACATGTACAGATCGTCATTGGATTTCTCTTTTTTTCTTTTTCTTTTTCTTTTTTCTTTGCTCTGGTAACAACAACTCAGTTTTATGATAAAACTGGATGAGAGGTGGACTGCTGACTGAGATTTCCTTATGCCTTGCTAACTTTGGGTGGCCACAATCCCCCTTGTGTATAGTGATTTTAAACTGTTGTAGGAGGGCAACGTTTCACTATATGGTAATTATTATTACACTTCTTAACCTGTGTGTAAATTTTGGCATTGTACCAACTGGCTGAACCTCACCTATATTGTAGTTGTGCATAATGTGTAAATCTGTACACGTCCTTAGTTTCCTATTACTCTTTCTTCATCAATAGAGGTGGAATGTTTGATATCTGACTGGCAATGACAGAGGCTCAGAGCGAATTGCACTTATTAACATGTTTGATATATAGTTTGCTAGCTTCATTTTAGTATAAGTTTAAATCAGCTAAGACTAAGACTACACTTATCTTGGCAAGTCATGGAACATTGTCATTAGCTAGTAATGAGGTGGTAGTTTGTTATTTGATTAGTTAGGTAATTGTTAGTTATCATCTAGGTAGTTGTTTCATTGTATAAATAGGACTCAGAGTTCCAAAGTAACTCATTAGTGAATTATATGAATTGGATGAACTTGGTTCATTTGGAAATTTTCTCTCGAAGGATCTTTCATTGATCCTCCCCATGACTGCAGGCCTTTTATTCTAGTTTGAAAACTATATGATATGGATGTTGAGGCTTTGAGGCGTAGAGAGACTATGTTGGCTGTATGGAAGAAGCATCAAGAAGACAAGAAGTGAGGCAAAAAATGGCTGAAGACAAGAATGAGGGTAGAAACCCCACCTCCAAAAGGGTTACCAACTAAATGAACCTTACCTATACTGTAGTTGTGTTTGAAGTGCAATGCAAATAATTAATTGTAAATTTTGGAACAAATCTCTAGTTAACTATAATAATAAAATAATAAGATTGATTGCTTATTAACGAATGAGTTATACAGTGAATTTGTACATATCAAGCTTGATAGGCTTGCAACTCAGATGATAAGTACAGAAGTTGAGCGAGAATCGTGCTCCTTTGTAGTTGCCTCCACGTAAAGCTTCTTTTTCCAATACTCATGAAGTGGATGGGCTAAGTATTGCCTTGCCAGAGACATCACCAATCCTTAATTACGGACACACAATCATTCAAACGTACACAAAATCTTCCAATATAACGAGATCAAGCACTTCACAGAATTGAAAATCTTCGACCAGATTCGAGGTGTCACAATGCAGGGGCAAAGGGAAAACAGAGAAAGTTAAGAGAAAGATATGCCAGAAACAGCAGATAATACACGTCGACACAAACCCAGACGCAAGTTGTAATTTTCAAGTTTCGATAATTTATGGTTTTTGACAAATGGCTTCGACCTGCGTCCCTCTTCATATTGGCTTTAGGCTTTTGGCTTTTTCAAATCGCTAGATATGCTTCATTCACGAACAAATTTTGCTTTTTTTGGTGCTACAAATTCATTTATTTGATCCAAGACAATTATTTAACAAACTAACCATATAACTTATTTTGTGTACAACTTGTTAGAACTAGTTGCACTATATTGTAGTTATAATATTTCATATTTAACACAATTTTATATTAATTTAGATTACCACACTTGACTTTCATTTTTATCAAACTTATATTAGGACGACATTGCGGGTGAAATCAGACTCAAATCCTTACATGCAAGCGCAAATATTGGTTTGGCAATAATGCGTGATGAACAATTGTCTCTCATCACTATATATCTGTCCATCAGAAGGGTGAAACTCAGATCTTCCATTATGATAACATACGGATCTACTCATCTGGTAAACAAACTGATCTTGGACCAAATGAAGAATTGGAAAGTTCACCCGTGAGCACTAATAATGCATAAAAAACAGCTCCTACTTTTAATTGTTTTATATTAAAATCAATCAAAAAAAATACTAGAGAAAGTAATATAAAATATATGAAATAAAATATTCCGCCAGAATGATTTCCCCGTAGAAATTAAAGTGAATATATCTCTTTCTTACATTTGTACAAAGAGAAATCCTATTAATACGTTCTTTGACATGATCTTTTTAACACTTTTTTTTTTGTTATTGAATGAACTTCTATGTGGATCCCAATAATAATGAAAAGTAGCCAAATTATTTAATGGGATTCACTTGAAATTTCATCAATAATAATAAAAAAATTAAAAAACACCTTACTAATATTCTCCTTGTATAAAAATACCAATAAGAAAAAAAAAATCATTAAATTGCTTATTATGATACGAGAGAATTTGAATCCAATCAAATATAATTAAATTTTTCTTCATAATATGTAACCATTATGTTGTGATGAAAATTGGTTTTTAAAAAATTATAAGGGACGCCCTACTTTGTTGTTGGTCGGACTCAGGGATTCGCCTAGATTTTTTTAGGCTGCTGAAAAAGACAACAGCAGCAGGATAGTTATTGAGGAATTACGGTATATGAATGCTTGCAACAACATCGAGAGGCAAGTGCTTTACATAGCCGCTTATTTCTTTGAGGCCTCTCTATATTTGCAAGTCAAAATAGGAAGTTTTAAATAACATCTGAAGTTATAACTTGAAGCTCAACTGTCAACCAATTCGATCAGTCTTCCCAACTGAAGAAGCAACACGAGTTGTTGATTACATTGAATACAGGAAGCAGATGAGAGTAATAGCTTGCATTAAATCCAAAGTTATGGTTACCTCTACCTCTACAAGTCAATACTCACGTACTTTTTTCTGTGACTTACTTCGTTCGTCCAAATTAAATTGAGAAAAAAGAGGATTATCTTAAGTCTAATACTTATGGGACTCAATGAATCCGCAGTAATTTCTGTTTAATGTTGTCTACTCTTCTGTTTCGTTTTTTTTCAAAAGAGATACAAGAATTTTATTTATACAAAAACCGCTTTAAGCAATGTGATCATAGTGAGTATATTTATTTCCCTTTCTACCCTGTTAAAATTTGGCTTTAATAGCTGTTCTGTTGTCGTTTAGGTCAGAAAATTTGCTGCAACATTTATTTTTAGCAGGATATAGTTCTGTATAGGAATTTTTTTATTCCAGGATATAGATCCATATCCTAGTGTTATTAGGTTTGCTGGCACTTTTCCCATATGCAACGACAGCAGCAACGAGTAACCCTTAAAATTTATGATTTTTTATATAAAAAATATTTTTACAATTTCACATAATAAAATTATATAAAAAGAGAATCAATTAAATCCATTTCCCCTTTGCTCTCGTTGGCTGAGTTGCTGTGCAATTTTAAATATAATAATACCCCTTTTGTTGCTAGACATAGATCATATTGTTCATGGATGTCCAATTATCCAAATAAAAAGAAGAGAAGACTGATTCTATACTGAGGATAATTGATCTTCATCTTATACACTAAAGCAGACAAATATTTCCATGACAGTTTTGATTCCATAGCATATTAGTACTATTATTATATATTGGCAAAAAGAAAGGAAAGAGTCTCCGAGGGCACGGCCAAATAAACCAGTCACCAGCACCTAATCTACAATAACAAACAACATATCAAAACAAGGACTTGGGGAGCGAAGATTCTTTCACTTTCAAGGATTATGCTTCTGCGTGTAAATATAGTCTATATGAGCGACAAGTGTCCTCCTCATTAAGCATTCCTCCTCTCTAATGCCTTCACAACTCTCGTCAACTGCCTCAACTTCCTAGACACATGAAATATATATACATGGATCAGACATTTATTAAGCATCAATATGAGAAAAACTAACGTAAAAGCTAACACTAACAGCGGTAACACACAACCAACCTGATGGTGCGTTACTGCAGAAGATTCCTTGTGAAAAACTGGTTCAGGGCGTGCAGAGTGGGTAACCATGTAGCAGAGGAACAGAACCGTGAAGAACAGAGCTGTGATCTTACTCATATTTGCTTTAAGTTAGAGAAGGCAGAAAAGTTAAATGAGAGGGAAAGAGAGAGAAAGAGTTTGAGCGTGTTGAATCGGAGTAGGGATAGATGCTAGGAATTTATAGAGATAAGGAGGCAAATGGAAGTGTGAACCTTGGAAGGTGAAAAGAGGCTTTATTTATTGCAGCCGATAATCAAAATGGAAGACCAAAAAGACATGAAGAGATGAAGAGAGCGGTTAAATTAATGAATCCAAAAAAGTTTTCTCCTTTTTTTAAATAAATGGTCATTTGAATAGTGGGAAAATTTTGAGCACAACCAAAAGGCAGCCACAAGAAATAAACCGAAAAACAAATCAAAAGGGAATTGAATTCTCTTGTGTTAAAATTTTAGATGACTTGATCATGTGAAATTTTTGTATCTATCTTTCTTTTTATTAATGATAATTAGATTCTACTTATTTAATGTATACGGAAGAAAAAAAATAAATACAAAAATTTCACTTAACTGGTCATTGTAAAATTTTAACGGAACCACTCCTGTTAATAATAGCTGGTCATGAAAAGAAAGAAAGTGTTCGAATATCGAAATTCCCCCGTTAATAATAGCTGGAAATTTTGTTATTTACAAAATGACTTGCCTGTCTCAGTTTTTAGATATCGAAAAAGAAACAGATAAAGTGTCTGTTTTGGAGACGTGTAGTAAGGAATAAGGCAACAATATGCCATGTTTAGCATTGGGAAAATGGCAAAGTGACTTGCTCTATTTGATCTCACATGCATGTTCTTGTGGACTGGGCACTCTGCCTGATGAACTGTTACTTGAACTTACGATAATACAACTCTAGTTTCAATTGCCTGCTTTAAACTATTGAACCATCACACTGAGAAAACGAGCTCCCAATTATAACGTTATCGACCTTATTCTTTTTCAACATTAGGATGTAAAGATGATGTCAAATAATAATTGTTTACCTCCATTTGGCAATGGGAGCTCCTAATTTTTTTTAATATATATATATATATATAAGAAAATGTTATATTTATAAATTTTTTATTTACAAATTCTTACAAGTTACAATATATCTGACCGGTAATACACTCTTGAATAGAGTATTATCAATTAGACATAGTGTAGTTTATAAGTTTATAAAAAAAAATGTTTGTCAATATAACTCTACTTTTATATATATATATATATATATATATATATATATATATATGCATTGCTTTCTCAATTTCGATGAGTGTACGGTGAAAGTCAATTTTTTTCCAAAAATGTTTTTTTTCAAGGATCGAACTTAATCTTAGGGTTATTCAGATAAATAACCACTTTTAACCACTGCGATACCATTAAGTAGTGGAAAGAACTTTTATATTTACTATGTATAGATAGATAAATAGTTAAATACCATGAATTCATGTATGAATGATTGCTAGTGGATCCCAAATCTAGGACTTTTCAAAGCATTAGTAATTGCAGCATTCACGCCCAAACTAACGTCAAGTATACCGCCTAAAGTTTTCATTTCAGTTGTTTATAAGAGTACGGAATGCGTATACATTTTAGAATGCCCCTGAAAGCTTAAGCCGTTCTTTCCACTTGTATTGGTACTATATTCTCCGTGCTCAGAGATTTTTTTTATTTGGGCTCCTAAGATGTTTGGCTTTTTTAAAGATTTTTTTTTTTTTTTTGGAAACAGCTTTTTAAAGATGTTATTTCTACATTTTTGGGTGTGGAATTTTGATATCGATTTAATTTTTTTTTTTGAAATATTTCAATCGGTTCATCACTTTGTGACTAGTCTGATTCGAAGTGGATATCAGAAATAAAACTTTAAACCCATGCCAAAAATAATATTAAAAAGAATTGAATACATCTCTCATTTTCATCTGTTCAGTTGCGTTACACTAACTAAATTATCATATTTGATATATCGATATAACCTTGATCAGAAGATATTTTCAATTTATACAAATAGTTGCCTATAAACTCAGTTTGTCAACTTTGTCATTACACATTTCTTGATGACATAACGCGTAAACAGTATACTCATATTAGTTTCAAAGTAACAGCTACTCGATCGGTGGAATTTTATTTTATTTTTTAATACAATGATGACACTGAAGTTTAAACATATAATCTCATGTAAATTACTTAAATTTCTTACCATCAGGGACAGACCTACATGGGATTAGGGTGGATCTCCGCCTCTCTCTAAAATATAAAAATATGTTCTATTATATAATATGCAATATGGTTTAAAAAAACAAAATTTTGAAAGTGATCTTAAAAAGTAAAAGTCAAACGATGCTATTCTTAAGAAAAATATTCTATCTATTTATTGCACCCAATTAGAGATAACTATTATTTACCAGATTCAACCTGCCAGCATATATGACATGTTTTGTTCTTGGTCTGCTACTAGGGGTGTGCAAAATAACTAAAAAACTGAACCGAACCGCCCCTTAAAATAATCAGTTTTTAAAAACCAGTTCATGAACCGAACCGGTTTTTAAAGAACCAGTTCATGAACCGAACCAGTTTAAGAACCGAACCGATTTTAGAACCAAACCATTTTGATCCGAAGCGAACCGTTTTCAAACCGAACCAAATTGATTTTTATAACTATATTTTTTAATTTTTAATTTTTTTCTTTTCAAAAGAGGATCGACCCGAACCGGTTCCGAACCGAACCATTTAAACCAATTCGGTTCGGTTTTTCAAAAAAACCGGTTCGGTTCGACCCATGCACATCCCTATCTGCTACCCTCTCCAATCAACATGGAAAACTGGCTTTTTCATTATATACAAAGAAGAGTTCAATTAGTAATGCATATTCACTCTACTTATCAAATTTGTCTAGAATTTGATTTGATTTTGATTGATTATCTAATTTTCTTTTTATAATCATTAAAAATTTATACAGATTGTCGTATCAGAACTCAGGAGAAGAGCATTTAAGTTTTGACTTTGTTGACAAAGGAAAAAGGTCAATAATAGTTATCAATTATTAGTTGAGATCAAATGCTAAAAATAAATAACACATTAATTAATTTACTGTGTATTCTACTAAATAACATCTAAGTGAGAAAATAAGATTATAAAGAAATCAAAGAAAATGCAATTATAACAGCAAAAGGCATGAAGGTAAACAATAAAAATTTGATCTTACAAACAAAATATAAGGTCTTAAGACTATTTTCTCATTGAAATAGAGGGTGCATTGGATCACTATCACCTGAAGCAACAAATTGACATTCCAACCAAAAAAGTGACAAAAAATTATGTAATTTTATTAGGTTCTTTTTAACATGTATTTTTGTATTCTTAGCATGATCATTCAATCAAAAACTAGCATTATTTTTTTATAATAATAATATAAATTTTCGCCTCCATCGTATAATTTTCTGGATCCCCACTTATTAGCAGTGCACCAATCCTAATAGCTTCGATCGATGGACTTTCAAATACATATAATAGAAGCATTTATTAATAGGTGACAGATCATTTTTTTTCTTCTTTTTCTGACCTTTTCTTTGGATCAAGATGTAGTATTATTTCTGGATGACCATACTACTTTCCACAGATAACCGGTGAGCAGATTGCTTAGTTCTCCCCGGCTCTTGATACACATGACCTGACGTCCTATGATGAGTTGTGACCCATATATATATATGCACCTACCATGGCTCTGATTTCTAAATTGCTAACTCATTCAAGATAGAAGTATATATGCATGAGTACTTGTGACAAATTTTACAGCAGTAATGCTGGAAGTGGAATATGATCCCTATTGGCTTCAAAAAGACATACACAAGCGATCACCAAAGGACAATGTACATCTATACATATGTCATAAGTGCTGTCTCTACGTATTCACTCAAGGTGAACTTTTGCCTTTTTTTTTATTTATATATTTCTAAACAAAGTATCTTGGTTGTAAATGAAGGATATTTCTTAGCAAATAGAAGTTAACTTTCTCTCCAACACACAATGCACCTCATTTTTTTTTTCATTTTTTCTTTTCTCCCCCACTTTTGTGCGTGTGTAGGAGATAAATTTTTTCCTACTTGAAGATATATATAAGAGAGGGATATTTTGACTCTAGAATAAGATTTACAAGTCTTATTCTTCATCTTAACAGTTGATTTCAGCTCATTTAATAGTTATAGTTTAGAAAGTCATACTAATTAATTAATTAATAATTTCTTTACAAGTCTTATTCTTTATCTTAACCGTTGATTTTCGTCCATCAACAGCTGAGATGGAGAGTAAGACTTCTAAGTCTTACTATAGAGTCAAAAAAACCCTCATTATATATATATATATATATATGTATATATATATATATGTATGCATGCATTATTAATTTACATTGATACAAAAACTAGATGCATTACATGATTTACATCTAATTTTAGTCATTAATTTAATTGTATTTAAGAACTCACTTAACTTACAAATTAGAATCATTAAATATAAGTGAGATCTACGATCAACATTAAAAGTGTAATCTATATTGATTTAAGATGATGTGTCCCATATATTTATATTTATGTGCCCATGTGTGTGTGCACATCTATATATATTTATGGACAATGTACTTCTCCTGTTATAGGAAAATAGGAGAACTTCATGAAGACACATGATCATGGTGGAGCCCATTTTTTTTTTTTTTTTTAAAAAGTCAAGCTCAAAATTCAAAGTGGTAGTAGAAAACACTTCTCTAACAACAACAGAAGTGTTTTTCCATATATTTATATATGGTATAGTCAAATTTCATTCTTCTTATTCTCTTTCTCAACAAGCATAACCCTTGATTGGTTAAAATTACAATATAAGCATCCACAGGTTCACGTTCATAAACAAATTAATCAAACCAAAAAAAATTCGTTCAAATGGTACATATTTGATTTTTCTTAAGTAAGATTTTGAGTTTAAATTCTTGTAAATATAAAAAAAATTCTTTAGGAGAATTAATCCCACTATAATATAGATATTTTTGAATCGTACAAAATTATCTCTCATAAAAAAATATGTGTGATTTAT